TTCTGCCACAAATTCCCCCGGCTGTGAGCCTTCCAACCTTCTAAGTATTCCTTTATATGTGGTTCAGAGTTCTGGGACCATCCCCTGAGCCTGCTTGGTCAGGTATTCTGTGTTGTTGTTGGCGGAGCTCTGTACACATCCACCCGATCTGCCATCTTGTTTGTTTTTCCAAAGTTCATCCATTTATAATATGTGCCACTATTTCATCCTTCTATATCACTGAACAATATTCCATTTCATGGATGTGCCACATTTTGTTTATCCATTTATGAGATGATGGACATTTTGGGTATTTACATACTTTGGTAATTATTGATAAGCTTCATGCATACATTTTTATGTTTTTATTTCTTTTGGATGTATACTTACCAGTGGAATTGCTGGGTCATATGGGAGCTGTATATTTAATATTTGAGGGACTAGCCAGACTATTTTCCAAAGTGACCGCACCATTTTACATCCTCTCGACAATTTGTGAGTTTTCTGATTTCTGTACATCCTTGCCAACATCTGTCTTTTTGGTTATAGCTAACCTAGTAGGTTGTTGTTGTTGTTGTTAGGTGCCATCGAGTCGGTACCGACCCATAGCAACCTTATGCACACCTAGTAGGTATAAGCTGATATTTCATTATGGTTTTAATTTGCATTTCCTTGATGGTTAATGATGTTCATCTTTTCAGGTGCTTATTGAATATTTGTATGTCTTCTTTGCAGCCCCCTTCAAATATTACATATGTTCATGTTTTTGGTTTTGTGAAGTTAAACTATACATCCATAGGTAAAGAGATTGGGGAAAAAATAATCAAATCACTATGACAACAGCTACCTTTCATTCAATTACAGATTTTTAAAAAATTTTTGTTTATATTTTATAATAAAAATAAATTAGTTGGTTTTTAAATAAACAGACATTGGAAGGCACTGTGAGTGATTTTGACAGAAAATTCACATGAACATACACAAAGTGTTGCTATATATAAAACATGAAAAAAAGTTTTCTAATAAATTCAAGCGGTACAAGTTGTGTTGTCACAGTTTAAAGCTCAATACAAAGAAGTTTATAATAATGATTGTTTTGTTCCTAAATAAATACTTCATTTCCTACAATTGGATGAAGTAGGCCTAGTGTGGATAGCTAGTTGGTAATGGTGATTCTAGAGTGACTTGGACTCAGTGTCCGCTTATTGCACTGATGGAAACTAAAAAAAGTGTTGATAGGCTATTTGTCTGGAGAAGAAGAAAGTAAGTTGATTTTTATTTATGATCATTTCACATGGAGTTACTATGAGATGGAATCAATCCAATGGCAACTAACAACATATCCACAACAATAATCTTCATACTCATATAACCTTGTCTTTTTCTTTCTTTTAGCCCGTTGGTCTTTGTAAAGGTTCTCTTAGTCAAAACTTCTTGCAAAAGTTTGTCTCAGTGGATTGTGACTTCTTTGAAACACAGGTATTTTTCAATCTAATTTTTGTGTTATGTGAAGAAAAAAGAAAGTTGTCTATATTTTATCTGCCCCCAGCCTACTCACTCCATTGTTTTCCCAAGACCCATGATTTCCACTTTACTAGGTTTCTTAGGCTAGTTTCACTAGAGAAGCAAAACCAGTGAAGCTTGTGTATATAAATATATACACAAATACATACATAAAGAGAAGTTTATATCAAGGAAGTGGCTCATAACTGTAGAGATGGGGGAGTTCCACGTCTGGGTCAGATGAACCAAGATTGGCAGGTCTGTCAGGCAGGCAGATCCAGCAGGCAATCAGACAGGCAGGCCACTGGCTCAAGTCCCAAGAACCAGAAATTGGAGAATGAGTCAAATGCAAGATCTAGACCCAGCAGAAAGTAAGCAAGCATTTCCTAAGTGTTCATTATATTGGAAGCAGGCCACATCCCTGAGGGAACATCCTTTCAATTGATTGGCTTCTCATAGCCAATCATCATAAAGCTAAATCTGCCTGTTAATAGCCAATCATCATACAGTTAACTACACCTGCTCATAGCCAATCATCCAAGAGTTAACCACACTGCTAATAGCCTATCATCATAGAGTTAACTATATTGTACTAGATCTTACCATGGGATGACTACATCTCAACTATCAAGCCACTGGAAATCCTGGTCCATTCAAGTTGACGCAAAGCCTTAACTATCATATTAGGGTTGTTCTTTGGCTACAAGGTTGCTGGTCAAAGACTTGTCACATTATGTTTTAAACAGAGTGTGGTTCTAAACAGTAGGGAATAGCCCTCCATACACAAGGATCTACTAACTTAGCTGCAATAGGCCTCTGGGACATTAAATTCAGTGTCCAAAAAAACTTTAGAAAGAACCTGTTTCCAGGGAAACATTCAATCCCTTTCCAGACTGTTTATTGAGCACTTACACTGAGGCAGCATGGTATAGTTGAAAGGGCAGTTAAGAAAGACAACCTCAGTTCTCATCTGACTCTGCTACCTGAAAACCATGTGACCAGGGCCAATACTTATCTCTCTGAGTTTCGATTGCTTTGTCTAAGGAATGGGATTGAACTGCTTAAATCATTCAGATCCCTGTGAGAAACTGGTAGCAGGACCAGGATGAAGGGTATTATACACATTCTGGCACAGTATAAATAACTAATAAAATGTGGTTGTTGGGACAACATCAGGAGCAGGGACATCATCACTGGGAACTCTGAACAAGTCATTTAATCTCTCTGGACTTCTGCTCATCTCTGCAACGTGTGACACTTGCAGTCATTTCTGCTGGTGCAGAAGAGCTCTGGCCTTTTTTGTTCTAATCTCTTTTTGCTTTTTTAAGCCTTTATCCCAAAGACCTAGTCCTTTATAGAGTATCACCTTTGAACCATTCTCTCAGAAAGGAACAGACCAGTTTAGCTACATTCTAGGTATGGGATGGCTTTCCCTGTGGAACTCTGCATTTGTAAAATGTCCTCATATCAGGCTCCTGGCCCTGGAGAAGACCACTCTGCTGCTAACCAGAAACCTGCAGACCTCCCCAGTGTGGAAGGGCACCAGCAGAAAGGCACCAACACACCCACAGAAACTATGCCAAAAGGATCTGTCCAAAACCTTCCTGAGTTGGATAAAGAGAAGCCTGGAGATTCCCAGACAAAAGGCTCTGGTGAGGCCTTCCCTGTTCAGCTGGACCTGACCACCAATCCCCAAGGGGAAGAAATGGATATCTCCTTCCTCTTCATGGGGCCTGTGGAGGAGAAACTGCTTGTCCTGCCTTTCCCAAAAGGACAGCAACACTCTACTGAGTGCCCAGGGCCAGCCCAGGAGCCCAACTCCCTCATCCTCCCACCATGAGAAACATTTAAAGGACCTCCCCCCCCCCCCCAAGGGGAAGGGTGCCCAGTGTGAGAAGAAAAGTGGTGGAGAAGGTGCAGATTGATGGAGAGTCCATATGCTGAAAGTGTCTAATAAAAGTTGTCTTTTGACTCTTCTTGGTCTCAGTCATGTTGGCTTAGAGTGGGAGTGATGGGACTAAGCTCCTTTTGTGCATTGGACTGCAACCTCCTAACTTGCCCAAGGCCTTGTGCCAGGGAGAGATGCCTCTTTACATCTTCAGCCTCTGACTTATAAAAGGTTTTCATCCTTTCAGCTCACAAATACACACAACTGTCTGCATTAAAACTATGATTAAAGATACTGTCTCTAATGCCAAGATGAGTAAGAAACTGAAACCTGGTAGACAGGTTTACCCTCTGCACATTCCCTTTATACTACCCAGCATTTTCTGGGCATGCGTGAGTTACTTGTAGCCCCCTGTCTCTTTTCATCTGCCCCAAATCTCTGGGTCTCAGAACTGGGGCACTGACTTGGAGGTCAGGGCACATGGAAGACACATTGGCCTATGTTGTGCTGAGCCCAGTGGGGACACCAACAGTCCCAACTGGTGATTTAATTTTTTTTGTTTTTTGCAATTTCTCTCAGGGCAGATATTAAGGTCCGATGACAACATTCAATCATAATCTCTTTTTCCTTCTTTTTTAAAACAGTAGGATAAATGTCCACGCAATTAAGTACATATGTACACTCACACATACATTCATGTATAGAAAGGATAGGACTTTTGACATTTTTTACAGAGAATTTGTAAAGGTTGCCTTTTGGCCTCCATGCTGCTATTTCTTGGAAGAGACACACAGGCCTTGGTATAATTTGCTTAAAAGCAGCAGACATTATTCACAGGCTATAACTCTTAACTGCTCCCTTTAAGAAGAAATGGCCATGTGGGGTTTCATGTCATGTCTTCAACTCTGTTTCTATCCGGGGCTGCTAGAAGCAGAATTATATTCAGTTGGTTCAACTGAAAAGACTCTTAGTGAAGGGGCTTTTTAGATAGTCTTTTGGCTGGGTAGAGGGAACAGAAGTAATGTTGAGGCACTTGGGAAACAGCAACAGTGGGAGGCCTTTAGTGCTTTGGGCTTTCAAAGACAGGAGAACCCAAATCCAATGGGAGCTGGAGTCCAGGAGGAAGGCAGCCACTGACAGAGCCTATGCTGAAGTAGGAAAAGGCAGGGGACTAATTGATGCCCTTCCTTTCTTTCTCCAAGTCTCCTACTCACAATGGATATTTCAATTAAATAGTAAAGTAGCCCCCAGGGGAGCATGAGTTACTCAATTCCTAGGAGTCAGCCTCCAGCAGACAGCCAGCAGGGAAATACAAAGGTTGGGTCTAGGGCCAAGCAGAGGAAAACTTTTATAAGCCCCATCCATGTAGGGGATTTCCACTCACATCCATCAATGCTTAAAACAAAAAAGATGGGAAAGACTTTTGTGTGTCCCTCTCCATACCACCCCCTGTCTCTCTTCACTGCTAAATTCTTGAAAAAGTTGCTTGTACCCATGCCCTCCACTTCCTTGCCTTCTATTAAACTCAAGGTGTAATGTGAGCATATATCTTTTTTCATAACTCAGTTGGGATTCCCTAATGACATCCTTACTGCTAAATTCAAAGAAAGTCTTGTCATTCACATATCCTTACCCTCTTTAAAGCATCTGGCAATGCTGACTACCCTTTTTTTTGAAACTCCTTCAACAAGCTTTGCAACACATCTCCTAGATTCTCAGTCTACATTTCTGTCCGCTCTCCTTCGATTTCATCTCAGCTTTCCCTTCTTCAGCCCACCACTTAGAGGCTGATATTTTCTTCTTGGCTTTGTCTTCCTCCATAAATTCCACATTGACACTCTAATGTGGCTTGGCTTCAACGATCAATGATATGACAAACTCCCTTAAATTTGTGTATCTGGCCTAGATAGCACTCCTCATCTCCAGGACTGCATATTTACCCAACTATCACCACAAATTAAAATCCATACCTTTTTTTTCCCAAGCCTGCTTCATCTCCCATTTTCCCCATTTAAGCACTGGACCGCAAGGTCTGTTTGAATCTTAAGGATGTGGCTCAGACTCACTTATACAGGGTCACTATGAGTTGGAACCAACTTGATGGCACTGTTATGCCCAGAATTCGGGGTCCCCAAAGACCACCTGTAGGACCAAAGAGAAGAATCCATTTCGTATATAAGCTTTAGCATGTCCTCTAGCTCCAAGAAAATAATATATAGCCAGGCAGCTCAAGGCCAGAGGCCAGATGTTTTCCTTTACCCTAGCCTAAGAACAAAGACCACCAGTCCTGACCAATTAAACTGCAACATCTCATAGTTTGCCAATTGTTAACCAATCCAAAGATTGTAAAGCTAGGAAACCTGAGCTGTTTAAAAAACTCTATAAAAACCCTGCAGACAAAAAGTTCGGGGCTCTTTCCCTATTCCGCTGCATCGGATAAGGTTAGAGACCTGGCTCGAGCTTGAATAAACAACCCTTATGTATTTACATCGGTGTTGGCTCCTGGGTGGTCATCGGGGACCCCGAACTCTGGGCATAACACACCAAGGAGCCGTCTCTGATACAAATACATAAGGGTTGTTTACTCAAGCTCGAGCTTGGACTCCACCTGCATCCGACACAGTGGATTAGGGCTTAGTCCTCAAACTGACATCTTTGATCTTGCAATATGTCATTGAATTTCTTGACTGCTGCTTCCATGAATGTTGATAGTTGATACGAGCAAAATAAAGTCTTTGGCAGCTTCAATCTTTTTGCCATTTATCTCAATGCTATTTATTGATCCAGTGGTGAGGATTTTTATATTCTTTGCACTGAGGTGCAATTCATACCAAAGGCTATGGTCTTTGATCTTCATCAGTAAGTATTTTAAGTCCTTTTCACTTTCAGCAAGATAGGTTGTATCATCTGCATATTGCAGGTTGTTAAAGAGTCTTCCTCCAATCCTGATGCCACATTCTTCTTCATACAATAGATATCATTTCACTCCAGCCTATCATCAGACCTGGCGAGATGAGGACCCTCATACACTGTTGGTAAGACTGTAAAATGGTGTCGCCACTGTGGAAAGCAGTATGGCACTTCTTTAAATGTTGTGAATAGAAATATCATATTACTCAGTAATCCTCTACTTGGTATATATCCTATAGAAATAAAAGCTGTGACATTAATAGATATATGCTTATTACAGCATTATTTACAATAGCAAAAAGATGGAAACAAACTAAATGCTTATCAGTGGAAGAGTAGATAAACAAGCTATGGTACAGACACACAATCAAATACTACCCAGCATTAAAGAATAATGAATTTATGAAACACCTCATAACATAGATGAATCAAGAGGACATTATGCTGATTGAAATAAGTCAACCATGTGGTACTGTAGGATCAACGCTTGACTGCTAACCATGAGGTTGGTAGTTCAAACCCACCAGTTGCTCCTTGGAAGCTCTATACTGGATTTTTATGAGCTGTAACTGACTAGACATCACTTAACACAACAACAGCCTTGTAAAAAAAATCAAAGAAAGATTTTCACACTAAAATCAACATTCTTTGGTGATTATTAGGGGTGTGATGGGAAGGAAAGGGAAGTGAGGGTAAATAAGTGACTAGAGGGCTGAAACATGTTAATTTACATGAAGGGAATGGCAATAAACAATAAGAGGCGAGTCATAAAAAATGAAGAAGATAGTGGAAAACACTGGGAGGAGTGTAAGAGTTAAAGTTATATGTTGTTGTTGTTGTTAAGTGCTGTTGCACTGGTTCTGAATCACAGCAACCCTGTATAGGGTTTCCAAGGAGTGGCTGATGAGTTTGAACCACTGACCTTGCAATTCAAACTGACCTTGCAGTCTGCCCTTATCATAAGGATATTATCAAAGAAGTGAATACATGGATCAAAATTAAGACTGAAGACTAAACATTTGAAATATGCACAGACATTTATTCTGTCTTCTTTATTTCAAAGGAAAATATTTAAAATGCAAGCATCCTTGGATGGAAAGTTGTTGTTGCTGTTGAGTGCCATCAAGTAGGATGTGGCTATATTGTTATTATGTGTATGTGAATGCTCAGGTGGATCTTGCTAAAGCACAGATTTTTGTTGGTCTAGGATATGGTCTGAGATTCTGTTGTGACACTACAGGGTAATACATTGGACTGCAAAATTGGTTTGAACCGCAAGGTTGGTGGTTCAAGCTCACCAGCCACTCCTTGGAAACAAGAAGATTGAGGTGATAACAATGCTGCTTGTTCCATTGGAAAACAAGGCAATAAAGGAAGTATTTTATGAGTCACAGCTTTAGCTTCCTGGTTGTGAAGGCAACCAAAAATAACACAGTGTCTTCGAAAGATTCTATTTATGTTCACTATTTCCTATTACATTCTCATATCTAACTGATAATTTACAATCAACTTCTATCCAATCTTAAGGCCTGACATAGAAGTTAAGTTTCATGGGTTTGTGGTAATAGGAGCTCCTGTCTGTATTTTCACTGATATCTCTACTTTTTGAGAGGGCTTCAAAAAGTTCATGGGAAAATTCCATTATTTTTTCATGAATTTTTTTATGCTCCCTCATATGGAGAGAAGCCTGTCTAAAAGACAATACTATAGAAGGGGAAAACAAAACATACAAAAATCAAAGGTCAAAATAGAGGACAATAAGTGCTGGTGAGGATGTGGAGAGATTGGATGCTCCTCCATTCCTGGTGGGACTGAAAAATGGTCCAGCCTCTCTGGAAAGCAATATGGTGCTTCTTCAGAAGGTTGGAAATAGAAATACCTTATGATCCAGCAATCCCTCTACTTGGCATTTACTCACAAGAAATACAAGCCATAACATGAGTAGATATATGCACACCAATGTTCACAGCAGCACTATTTGCAATAGGAAAAAGACGGAGACAGCCTAAGTGCCCATCAATTGAAGAATGGATAAACTGTGG